CATTTAATTAACTTCACTTCTCAAAGCGAACAATTTGCTACTTGAAAAGGCTTTCCCAGGCTACGTACTCTGAAAAGCCTCTGTTGGAGCTGTAATATTCTAATTCTTGGTGATGCCTGTGGATATTGCTGCTCATAGGCTTGACAGCTGAACTTCAGGGTTTTTTTTTTTTGAAATAAATGTGAATCAGATTTTCTTCTAGTTTTACTTGTTCCAAAAACGGTAAGAGAAGGTCTAGTTTGGCATGTTCTCTTTATGATCACTTCAGCCTAACTATGACAAAGAGAAATCCCATTATTTTAAGAACATACATGATAACAGTAGTCTGCTTTCTTCAGCCTGTGAAAATGGGTCAGTTTGCAAGTGTGAGCACACCAGCCTGTCCTGGCTCCGAGGCCTGCAGCTTTCCAGGCTCACTGCAGTTGCGCCATTTCCTTGAGGGAGTTCCTGGCTGCCCCTGGTGTTTGGGAGTAGCTGCTGGTTGTTCCTGCCTTATCTGATTTGAATGCTCACCCTGGCCTCTTTTGCCTCTCTGAACATGCTATTTCCTTTCCTTTCTGCACTATTTCAACTGAGAAAGTGACCCCTTGCATTTTAGGTGCTAGACGGGAGCATGCTGTGGCATAACACCATGTCTGTGAGGTTTCTTTGCACGTGTGCCAGGTGTGCATCCACTGTATATGTAGAAAGGGCCACAACAGTGTTCTCTCTCAGATTTTCTTCTGAAGCAGAAAAGGAGAGAGGTTCTTCTGTTTTCACAGAATTTTAGCAGCATGTGTTCTCTCCTTGCCTTTCAAGACCAAGCAGTTTTTGCTTGTGGAAGAAGCCATTCCCATTTTAGCCATAAGAATAAGCAACCTATAGTTTCATATTGTGAAGGTACAGATTTTGTCTAATATCAGCACAATAAAAATATCAAGAAAAAAAAGTCAATGTCACTATACTTTTTTTTTTTTTTTTTTTTTAAGGAGTCGTGGCCAAGCTCACTTCCTGACTGGGGCTTCATTGAAGTAATCAGAGAGAGGTGTTAGCTGACTTCACTGCTGTGAAACATACAGTCACAGCTTGTAGCGTGTGTCATTCATATGGAAGACAGCCATGACCCACGACAAAACCAGAGGTCACTGTGCACATTCACTTCCCAAAGTGAAGATATCTAGGGCTGCTGAAATGTGTTAGGGCATTCAGGACAGTTCCATGTGAGACTGACAGGAAGGGCTTCAGTAAACCTTCATCATCTGGAGGAGAATTTGGAGGCCAAGTGAGATAATCCTCAGTGCATTAACTGGTTTTAGGTGTGTGCCCATGTAGTTGAATGACGGTTTTGTTTCCTGTTGCTGTAAATGAGAACCAGCAAGACTGAAGGCAGTGGTGTCAGGTTTTTTGTGACACCAGCCTACGGAAGAAGCCCTCTAGTCCAGTAGGGCTTTTAACTCCAGAAGGGGAATTGTAATGAGGTTGTAACTGGTAGCAATTTGATTGCAAGGTCAGCCAGATGTGTAGAATAGTGTGACAGAGCTATATGAGTTACGTTGAAGTATTAATTTTGCAGCTTTTGGAGGCAGCAATCATCTTCATGGTCTTCATTTATAGAGTGGGATCTTGGGATATAAGGATCAACATCTTGGGATATAAAGGCAGGATTGCAGCTCTTTGATTGCTACAATTTTAAAAGTTGTTTTCATTAGTGTCAGCGTGCATTCCTCAATTCAGAATTTAAGCTCAGTAGGAATGTATGATACAAAAATATCTCAGGCTTATATCAAGGATGGAGCTTTACTTGCCACAAACGTTGTAGTACACATGCCAGAAGATGAACATCAGAAAATGAATCATCTCTGAAACAGTCCCTTAAATCCTCCCTGTTTCCTTTGACTGACGAAGCCATTTTGCTTGTTTGTCAGATGCCCCATAGACACTAAATACCTTCCATCCATCCTCCTTAAGGAATCTCTTCTTATGCCCAAGTTATCACACTCACGTGGATATGTTGTGCAAAGCTGCCTGAGGCAGCACATAACCTACTTTGCATGTACCTTGCACAGAGTATGGCTGACAATTCTGCTGCTTTATTGAAGAGCCACAAGAAGTCTTAACGAATTGCAGGGGCTCAGCAGATCCCACAGATGCATCCAGGAACTGTCACCTGAATACCGCTGATATGGCACTTTCTGAAGGAGTCTGAATGTGTCAGGAAAACAGTAGTTCTGAGAAACAGTAATACTTGTGCTTTTCTGCATTTAAACTTCTAAAAATTCATTATGTGTGTTGAGAGGCAAATCTGCCAGACTGAGAGCTTTTTAATAAGCATTTCTTCAGGTGATGGTTTGGATCTCTTGAGAAGCACAAAATGCTCCTTTTAGATGTGGCCTGCTGCTTTAGATGATTGTGCTTGCTATTGTTGCCCAAATACATCTTTTTTAGGTGCACATCTGCTGCTCACAATATTGGAGCAAATTTCTTACTGTCTTGTCCTGTGCTAGCTTGCCACAGTAGTATATCCTTAAATAATTAATCCTCTCAATAATTGTCAGTCCACGGCAGAACTAAGAAAGAAGTCTAAGGTGTATTGCTTGTTGTGTGAGCTTCATGCTGTTTTCCTCAAAAATATTACAGATTCATCTCTGAACAGCTGTGATTTCTAGAAAAGATAAGTTGAGGAAGGTGATATTTTCTCAATTACTTTGGAAACCTGAGAGTATGAGAGACAAACAGAAGGTAAACAAATATACTTAGTGAGAGACAGACCAGAGGATAAATAATCTTAAAGGCACAAACTTAGCCTTCATCTAAAGAGAAAATAAAAGTGTACAGACTAGAATCTGTAGGACTTTTTAATCTCACAATTCTGTTCCTTGCCGCTGTCATGCATTCTGTGTTGAAAATTGAGTGCAATCTTGTCTACTGTGTACGTAGTTCTTCAGCAGTGCTGGTGAGGTGTCCTTTATAAGTACACTGCTTTCCTCTATCCTTAACTCAATGTCCTTACCTCTAGCTGGCGGCCTTCACTCTGGCTCTGCCCTGATTTGGGATTCTCTTCAAAGGGATTTGGAGAGTGACATATCCTGGCTGGAGGAGCAGAGAGGAGGGGGGCTCTCTCGAAAGGTTTTATTGTTGAAAACTTGCCTGTTTTTGTGGGAAAGTGTTTAGCACTCAGTTTGGAATAGGTCTTTGAGGAAAAAAAAGAAAAAAAAAAGAAAAAAGAGGCACAGTGGGTTAAAAAGTAAAGCTGAGCTTTTCATTGTTTCAGCATTTAATGTAATCCTATCTGGTATCAGGGGTTTTAATGATATCTTTGGGGCTTCCATTTCTTTCCACCACACATATACTAGGAGAACATCTGTTTCTTTGTTAGCTTAACAACACCTCAATCTTCCCAAAGAATTTTTCCCTTGGCAGTTTTTTAAATTAATTGCACATTGGGTTTTTAATCACAGTTGGGATTAAAATTAAATTATTTTTTATATGTTAGTGAGTGTGTAAAACCATCTATGTCTACTAGAGTGACGTTATGTATGTAACGTGGTTGCTTACGCAAAGTCTGTACAAATGTTTTGGAAAATATTATCAATTTTAATTCCTTATGGAACAGTCTTCTACATGACTTGTTCTGGCTAGTCTTCAACACAAGCGTAAATATGCTCTCATGTTATTCCCAGTTAAGACGATGGTCTTTGGAAAAACGGGTTTCAGGATCATTTCATGCTTAGAAGCTGGAAAATCTGAATTAAAAACATTTATTGATCTAATCACCAGTATTAAGGCAGTGATTTATCCAACAGGATGGATCTAGAAATCTGCCTGCAACTCAGGTAAACAGAGCTATTGTGAAAGGCCAAAGACCTGGATCGATTCCTGCTTCCCTAATCGTACACAGAGAAATGTTGACAGCCAGGGGGATTGTCTCTTGTATTGGAAGTACAGCTTGTTTCTTACAGAGGTGATAACTTTAGAAAAAAATTCTGATGTCATGTTTTATCATCTGGAAACTTAAGAAGTTTCTAATCTGGTGCCTTAATGGGTGTCTCAGGGAATCAACATGAAATTGCAGCCGAAAAGTCCTCAACCTCTGCTCTGGATGACAGCGTCAAATATCTCTGCTTGTGAGAAATTGGATCCTTTGTTTTGCTTTCAATTAGCAGTTAACTGAAATTGTTAAAAGTTCCAGGGAAGGTTACCTTTGAGCTAGCTAAGCTAACACTAAGAAACAAGAAGTTGGCCTATGAGCAGATGTCTTTGGCTTTGTTATGCCCATCAAAAAACTAAGACTTTCAGTTGTTTGTTTTTTCATTACTTCTGTCCTGTTTCCCATGGTTAGCTTCCCAGGATCTGCCAGGAGATCCTGGGAGGCAAACCAATCCTTCTCAACTAGTTTTTGTCAAATGAGGTTGGTTGGCAAGGGCTGCCTGTTTGCAGTGAGCACTGCAGCTGAGGATCCAGCTGCCGTGCCATCAGTACTATCAATCGACCTCTGGAACTGATGGAAAGGGCTCCTGACTTCCCCAGATCAACCAAACATCCTATTTCTTTGAAACTATCTATGAGGTGGATGTGTGAGCTGCTGGTACCTAGGTACCTGGAAACATTGTTAATTAGTGGACGTTGCTAGCGTATATGGCTTGATTAGTAATATGCTTAAGGCTGGAAATGTTTGTTGACTTTTGGTTTGACAGCAGTGAACTTGCGTGCTGAAGGTAATACACATGTCAAGGCAAGATTTTGCTCTGAGTATTTTTCTCACTGAGTTTACTGAGTCTAGCTAGCACCATCTGTAAGTGATCATGATTTATTTCAAAATACGTGGCTGTCTGGTATTGTTTAAGTTGTCAGATACTCGTTTTAGTTTGTTTTATGCGTTCATTGCATGTAACTTGATATTGTTTTCCTTTCATATTCAGGTACATGTGAGCATGACTCTTACAGGATAGCTGTGTTAATATGACTGAATTGTATGGTATAAAATGAAATCTCAAATTTTGCTTTTGCATTTATTTGTGCAGGTTCGAAAACACGTGAATGACCTCTATGAAGACCTAAGAGATGGACATAACTTAATCTCACTTTTAGAAGTCCTTTCTGGAGACACCCTGGTAAGCTTTTAAATCAGAATGCAGGTGTTTCAGTTTGTTATAAATGCATTTACACTGTGAACTCTTTGGATGTTGACTGCTGGAGATGTCTGGTATTTTCAATAATGCGTGACTTGATACCAAAGACACAAGTTATTTTTCTATTGGTAAGATATTCCACCATGAATTCTGTGGGGGAGTGCTCTCTGTTTTCTTCATTTCTTGCAATCAGTGAGACTACCTTTCCTAGTAGGGTATTGCACTAATTTTTCTGTTCTTATCTTTTGTTTATTATTTTTCTTTTAACATGTATCGGATGCTTAATATCCCTTCCCATTAAAGGGAGCAACTTACAAATAGCAAGGGTAAAATGTTCCTGAAATTGTCTAACACACTCTTCAGATGTCATTTCCTTTCTTTGTGAGCATTACTTTCTTTGCTTGGTATTTGTTCTCTTCATTATGTTCTTCTTTTCATGCTCTTCTTTTCATTTGTGCTCTGTCTTGTGTCTTTGCTGTCCTGTCTCCTGTCTGTTACATTCATTAGCCAAGAGAGCGAGATTTTTTGAAGACCTTACGGTTGGTGAGTTCAACAGAAGCATGCGCGTATGAACAGCATGAGGATGTGGAGGATGAGGATAAGGGGGTAGGTGCCGACCCCCATAACTGTACTAACGTAGTGTTTGAAGTGTGGTGTCTCCTACAGTCAGTCAATTCTTAGTTTGGTGTCCTGCAGTAATTCCACAGAAAGTACAAAGAACTCGTATGGTAAATCAGGTTATGCTCATAAAGTAAAGTAGGAATGGTAAAGAGAAATTATTTGGCCTTTTTTATGAGCAGCTAAGATGTAAAAGTTTGAGATATCTCTAAAATTTTACTTTTGATAAACTGTATAAAGCTAGTGTGCAAATGTGTAGTGGATGTTATCAATATGTTACAAGACAAACTTCTATTTGTATTTGGTTTTTTTTTTTTAATTAGGTAATTAATAATTCTGTTAAACCAATATTTTTTACTTACAATCAGTATTTCCGATATGGAAGTAATTCAAAGACTTGAAGGCTTTCCTTGGTGAAATAATTTGCAAAAAATTAATTTGACTTAATTAGAAGCACTGGTTTACCTCACCCATGGTGTATTTGGCATTGACATTGAACAATATTTTGACATGAGGTAATTTAGAAGTGCAGATCTACTTCTCAGAACGTATCAAATGTAATGGTTATATTTTCAAAGCAGATGGTCAAAGTGGAGGTTACATGGCAACTCTGTGTGGTGCTTTGGCTACCAAACGTGTGGATTGTTTATCTTTCTGGCAACTGATGCTGAATTATCCTTTTGCTGTACTTTAACCATCCAGAAGGGAAATATCTACCAATAAAACGTAAAATGCTGAGTGCTTGCTAGCCAAAGAAGCTGCTCCATGCTTTTGTAGAACCTGCATTATTAGTGTTTGCTAAAGCAGCTTGTTGTCATAGGGCCCAATTATGTTCTTGGCTCCATGTGTGTTGTGCTATAGTTGTGATTTCAGTGGAATATGTCTGCTTTTTCCTGGAGGCATAACATTACTCAAAATGCTGCATTTCAGCTGTACATTGAAAACATAATATTTCCCCTCTGAGATCCTCTACCTTTATTTTGTGATAGTTTGGATTTATTTTACTCTCTTTGTTTTGGAAAACGAAGTTCCAGATCTGCAATCCTTCGTTCCATCCATTGAAGTTTTTCAGTAGCGAGGGCTGCAGGGATTGATCCTGAGCTCTCAGCGTGAAAAAGAAGGAGCTAAATCGAAGGTTCTATAGTGGAAATTAAAGTTCTTTGTGTTTCAATTTATGCTTCTTATTCAACTCATTTTCCCATATTTTGCTTTGGAAAGCATCTGATACTCCACAGGGGAAAAAAAATGTGGACCGAGAAAGGCTTGGGCATATGTTTGTATTTCATGGTGTCTGAGGAAATAATTCATGTTCATGGCTGAGCCCTAGCAATTATAGTATGCTTCAGTTTATTGCGTGAAAGTTTGTGAAAAATCTGAAATAAGGAAGAAGAACATAAAGGATTTGGACATTGTGATAATGATAAAAATTTAACCCATTCTTGATCTCTGACAGCTAAGTATTCTTTTCCTGTGTGATTCTTCTTCTTGGTGATTTTACACTAACTGCATGCAGTTCTGCCGTGCTTCCATTAACACACTGCTCATTTCACAGATTCTTGCTTGGATGATTTTGATTTGAGAAAAGTCACTAGCCTTTTTTTCCATGCTTTATAATGTTTAGCTCAAGTCGAGAGTTAAATTTGCACTCTAGGGCTGTGTATTTTGTATTGTATATTTTTGGAGGAAAATATTATCTCTATTAGGTGTTTTAAAATAAAGATGTATTACTGTTATAATGATAATGCAGTCAAATCATAAATAAATAAGCAACGTTGAAGTCATAACATTGCATACAGAGGTAAGCTTTCTGTCAGAGAGTTTACCAGAACTACATAAAGGCCCATGACATTACTTCTATTTTTCTTTGCTTAATAGACTGTAAATCTTTTGTAATAATATATTGCAATGTGGTTTCTATAGCCAGGATCATGTGGGGCCTTTTTTAGCCCTCTCAGACTAAGTACTTTGCAGTGAAACAGCCATCTGCCAGCATGGATCAAAGTTGCAGTTTGGGACACTGATTTCTCTTTCCACCCATTGTATTAAAAAAATGTAGTTGCACTTCAAAAAATATAAAAATTGTTAAAGCACACTTTTCCACCAGAGGCACTGAGTATTGGCTTTGTTAAAAGTGTGGAGCTTAGAATATTTTACATGGTATTTTAAAAATCAGACTGTTCTTTTGTCTGGCAGGGAAATCTCACAATCGTTGTTTTCCAATTTTAGCCCCGAGAAAAAGGTCGGATGCGTTTTCACAGACTCCAGAACGTCCAAATTGCACTTGACTATTTGAAAAAGCGCCAGGTATGGTGAAATGTTTAATAAAAAATGTTAACAAAAATTGCATAACCAGGAGCTAATAAATAATTTATAAAAAAAAAAAAGTCCTGCTTTGTCTTTTGTGCATTTTGTATAACATCTGCTGGTGTACAGCTTCAGCTCGTGCTTGTCATGATGAAGAAGGTTTTGGCAGATGTAACCTTACACCAACCTTTTCTGAGCAATAACAACAACACGATTCATGTGGCATAGAATGTTAAAGAGGAGAAAATTATGGGGAACTACTTATAGCAGATTTAAAAATCTCCCAAGCTGTCCAAACACCAGCTGTTATGCCGTTTTTTTTTCCACAAAATTATTTTTAGTGAAAAATGGAGATTTAAGGAAATTATAATTGTATGGGGATGACTTGTTCTCATTATATTTGTCTTAGAAAAATTTCAAACCTTGCTCCAGGCAAAGCCCAAATTTGTGCCCTAGAGTGTCAGCAGTCATCTGGGCTGTGGAAGGTTCAGGTTTTATTTCACCTTTAAATCAAACACTTAAAAACTGCACTTCTGGGTGGTTTTCCACTGTTGTGGAATGAGTTTATATCCACTTTTAACTTTCTCCTAGACATTTAGAGTTCTTGCTGCTAAGTAAAAATGAGTGGCTACTTGAACTGACAATTACAGTGGCATTTTTAGGCAGGAATGCCTCTGGATTTGTGCTGCACCATGTCTTATTTCTGCATGACAGACCTTACTTACAGTAACAGGGCATGTAGAATCAGATCATCTTTTTTTCTTCCAGAGAGAATAGTGGAGCTTTTTGCGTTGTTTTGTTTATTTGTGTGTTTTTTCCTAATAGGTAAGATTATATCTGCAGAGCAAGAATGGAATGCCTTATCTTGTTTTGTGTTGATAACAGGGTATATGTACAAAAGCATGTGCATGTAACTTTACTAGAATAAGCATAAAATATATTTTATCTGAAAACTATTAATTACTAGGCTACTTGGACAGATAAGACAGAAAAAATGGAAGCATAAATTATAACAAAGTAGAATTTCTATGTGTACTCTAAAGGTGAATTTATTGGAGTGGAAAAAATATCAGACTTTGTTTCAACTGTACTTCTTCATGTTCACCACATTCTGAATGAATAAAACAGCAGAAGTGATAATAATCTTGGTCATTATGATGTCATTTGTTTGAATTTGATAGCAAATTTTTGGTCTTATCAAGCCAGCTCGTTGTTTTTAAACAGGCCAATTCTCCTGTCCCTTTATCTTTGATACAGGAGAGCGTGGAGAAAGCCAGTGGTGGCTTCCTGAATTTCAGCATTGCCCTGAGTCTGATACACTGTAGTTATAGATCAGCATGTTCTTGTTATCCTCTCCCTATCTGTCATACTTTCCTCCATTGACATAGACTGAGATGAAGGGTATTTGGCACAGGGAGCAGATTTGTCATTGCAGTGACAGCTGAGGGATCTCCTCAAGTCGGTGTGGGTGGGAGAGGGCGATTCCTGGCAGACCACAGGCAGCTAGAATTTTGTTCCTTCCAGCTTTTGGGAAAATAATGTGTTAGGATCAGGAAGTGAGTAATGCTTCATTTATGTAGTGCACTGTGTATTTTTTGGCATATTTATTTCAATTCTGTGTGTGTTTTCTTCCCACATGGCAGGTGAAACTGGTTAACATTAGGAATGATGACATAACAGATGGGAATCCCAAGTTGACTTTGGGGTTGATATGGACCATAATTTTGCACTTTCAGGTAAGTCTGGTTTTACTTAGCAATTTCTTTTCGTTCAGATTCCTACATACATTTGTGATGAATGGGTCAACTTTGGATCTCAAGACATCCTGTGCAAGTCTGCATTATGTCTCTAATGTGTGTTTGAAGGTTTTAACAACTCCTTTCTGATTATGTAAACTAAAGCTAAAGGTGTCGTTTTTGTCTAATCTCATCTTTAAATTTTTGCAAATTGCTTGGTTTTTGAATGTTATTAAAGGCAATGGTTGTGTTCCTTAAGCACTTGGATAAATAGGCCTTGATTTATTCTAAAGACTTCTTTTGTTGAATATTAAAATAAATTTTGAAGAGTTAACTCTTGCTTTGTTCTAAAACTGAATTTCTCTGCTGATAAGAGTATTGTAGCAAGCACTACTTTAAGCAGTTTTGAGCAGTTGGTAACACTTCAGCATTTGTTTTTAGTACAATAAACATGATGGTGATGTGGGGTCACACTAGGTGGCACTCTGATTGTGGTACACTGTACACTGATTGTGTACAGTATAATGCAGCCTTACAGTGTGTGGTGTTAAACTGCTCCTCAAAATGAGGCCTTCACAATGACTGTGGCTGCAGATGATGTAATTCAGATGACAGATAATTCCCATTTACTGACTGCAGCATTGTTAGCCATAGAGTTGGTGTTGTGGGGGCATTTGAAATGACTGGAAAATTAGAAGATTACACAAAAAAGCACAGTTCACTTAAGAATATCCTCCAGTGGATTTATAATTGGGAAAAAAAAACACAACTTTTTCATTTTTTTAAAAAAGCTCCTAGGGCATTGTTTGCATTCTTGTGAATTGTAAGGAGGAACAGAAGACCCAAATAGAGCCCATGTCGCTATGGTCTAACCAGAGCGGTCAGCCCAGCCACAGCCAGTGCTCCTGGTCAAGGAGAACCCACAGACTTCTTGCCATTGGTGAGGCTCTGAAGCTCCCTCAGCTTTCATCCCAATCTTTGCTTCCACGCGGTTATATGGAGGAAGGAGGCTGGGCTTAAGCTATTTGAGCATGACCCACAGAACAGACAATGAATATTGTTGTGTTTTAAGAAATAAAACTCCAGATAGCAGTGATTAAACTTGTAATCAGTATGTATTTTATATTTCTGAACCTCATGAATAGATTTTTGCAAGATGATTTTTTTAGCTTTTTTTCCTATCCAGAGCACAGGACATCTGGTACAATTTTGAGTGGTTATAAAATGTGAGGAAAGCTAACATTAATATAATTTCAACCTGTAAAAAAAAAAAAAAAAAGAGAGAGAGAGAGAAACATAAAATGACTCATTTAGGTAAGCTGGTGTTACAAGGATTTTCCACTGTAAGGTAGCCAGCTCCATGTGAATGAAGTACATAGGAACATTTAAATTGTAGCTGAAACACTTACTTCACTTCATCCTGAACTCCAGTAACTGCCATGTAAATCTCTACCAGTGCAATTCAGTCTCATAAATCTGTCAGCTTTCATTTTTTTTCAAAATAATTTGTTAAAAAAATCTGCTTAAACATTTTTAAGAATGAGTAGAAGTACTTAGACTGAATATTAAATCACTCTAATACATATGAAGTAACTGAATAGAAGGATTTTTTTGTGAATTATTTTCTAGCTTTTCACTATGAATGGCTACAGAATACACCCTGTATGCAGAAGAGATTCATACCATTATAAATGCTCTGTGCTAATCTGTTCAACCTTGGCATTTGCCTGCACAGCACTTCTTTTGAAGAATCTGGTACTTTGTTGTCATTGATGCCTCATATGATAGATGGAGGTTCAGAATACATAAGGAAATTCCGAAGAATGTGTTTAGTTTGACCTCATGTATTTTCTAGTCTTCACATTAGATTTTGAATGAGGAAAAAATTTGACTTGAAGAGGCTAATAGAGATGAAGTGTCATGACAGTAAGTGCTTATGCATGGAGTCATTCTGTATCTAAGTTGGGACAGTTGTGGTGAGATTCAACTTGAAGTTAAGACACCCAAATCCAGCTGCATGTCCATATGAACTGTGTCTGAATTATTGCTATAATCTGATAATCTGGTTTAGTCTATACAGTTGATGTAGCCTGGAGTCATTCAACTAGCCAGCTTCTAAAGGCTCACTCCATCTGACTAAACATAATGTTCATGTTCTAGATTTATGAGATGCCCACGTAAATATTAAAAAGATGACATAGGTTTTATAAAAAACCCACTGTCATTTGGGAATAGTCTGAGATTGGACAAGAGAAACTGCATCTAAAATGGCAATAAACATGTTTAGAAGCAGATTTGAGACCTGGAGGTTTTTTACTACAGTGAGTGGAGCATGGTGGATCAATTCAGATGGCTTATCCTAGGTTCTGCACTTGCAGAACAATTCAGTTGCCTGTCGCAGACTCTTACTGTGATCTGAAATGATGCATCATATCATCTGGGCTACCCTTGCAGCAGCCTGTAAAGCCAACCATATTATGGACTGCATCAAAATAAGCAAGGTCAGCAGGTCAAGGGAAGTGATCCTGTCCCTCTACTGTGTGCTGGTGGGAGCTCACCTGGAGTACTGTGTCCAGATGTGGAGTCCTCGGTACAGGAGGGATGTGGAGCACACCAAGAGGAGAGCCACAGAAGTGATCCAAGGGATAGAATGCCTCTCCTGTGAGGACAGGCTGAGAGAGGTGGGGCTGTTAAGCCTGGAAAAGAGGGTACTCCAGGGAAACCTTACAGTGGCTTGTCCAGTTCCCAAAGGGGGCCTACAGGAAAGGTAGGGAGGGGCTTTTTAAAAGGGCAGGTAGCGACAGGACAAGGGAAATGGCTTTAAACTGGAAGACGGTAGATTTAGACTAGATGTTAGAAAGAAATTACTTACTGTGAGAGTGGTAAAGTGTGAGAGAGACACTGGAATGGATTGCCCAGTGAGGCTGTGGATGCCCCTCCCTGGAGGCATTCAAGGCCAGGCTGGATGGAGCTCTGAGCAACGTGGTCTAGAGGGAGGTGTCCCTTCCAACCCAAACTATTCCACAATTCTCTGATTACAGTATTGTTTATAATTCTATCCTATGTGTATGTATATTCAAATTAATATTTGAATGGATGTCTTCTTAAACGCCCAATGCCTTTTCACTGGTGATACTGGAGATGGGCAGCTATACATAAAGGTCCGGATTTTGTGCCTCAGAAAGTTACAATATTTTTAGTAGGATAATTTCTGTGAAAATCAGTGATCACTGAAAGAAAGATTTTTCTTTTCAAACCGCTGAAAACATCTTTAATTTCACAATTTTTTTTTTTTTAGAGTAACCTGTCATAGTTTAAAAACAACACTAAGAAAATACTGAAACTTTAACTTTTGAGCGTCCAAAATTCAAGGCCTTTAAAAAACTTGGAACTTACAAGTCATGACTCAGTAAATTTATTTACTTATTTTTATTACTGTTTCATTATCATTTTGCAGTTCAGTAATTCCTGTGAAATGCTTTTTCTTCCACTTTACCCAACTCTATATTATGGGGTCAGAAGGCTACTTTTTAAGGCTGCACTTGGTGGTGTTTTTGTCCAGACATTATCATGCCGTCCAGCTCCCACTTGGAGGAGTTGTGCTCTTTCTCTCAGGCCTCTCTAGGGCACGTATTACCTCTTAACATTTCTCACGTCAGCCAGCAAATATTTATTTCATTGTTGGTTCCATGTGACCCTGAAGCAAAATTCATTCTTTATCTGTCTGCCACAAGGCAGTCCTCAGACTGTTCATTTCAGCTAGCAGATCAGCAGTGAAATGTTTAAGTATGTTGGGGGAAAAAGGCAAGAAAACTGGATTTATTTGTAAGTAACTTGGGTGAGATAGGTGACAGCTATCCAGCCTTTTCTAAAGTTCCTGATACCCCTTACCATGCTCAGGTGTTCAGAGGCTGCTGTGCAGTTAATATTATTTCAAAACACTCTTGTGTTGATTGTGAAGGCTTTGGCCTTCAAGTGGGGTCTGGAAAGTGACCAGAGGAAGAGACAGGTGAGAGGTTGTAGCCCATTCCAAAGCAGAGGAATGATGGGATATTCTAGGATTTCTGCATCTTCCTGTTTCAGTTACTCTGGTATTAACTGTGCGATAACAGTTACCGCATGAGAGATGCTGCCTATTTTTCACATTGCCATCACAGGAATTGAAATTGAGATCTGAGTCTGGCCTTCCCTTGCTGCCACGTATTTCTTGTCTACCAGAAGCAGCTGAAGCTGACCTCTGGACCTTGTCCTACATGTGGGTCTTGGATCCCAAAGACTGAAGTTTAATCTGCCTCCACTTGAAACTAGCCAGACCAATTTCAGGTCTGATCTTCTCAAAGGTTTAAAGGTGAAGCCATATAGCCAAGTGTTTAATCTCTGACTGTCAGTGGTTGAAGGATAAACTGGATTCCACTCAGGAACTGTGATTCCCAGTGGCAGACTTATCACTCAATATTTGCTATACTACATTTTTCCTATGTTTTATTCATGAGCAGATCTCTCAGTTTTCTCTTCCAGACCTCTTTGTCACTTTAGGAGAATTACTAAATCTCAGCAAGAAAATGAGCATAGAGTTCTGGGAATTTCTGGGATTCATCTGAATCAACAAAGATGATTAAAACTCATTGCAGAATCATATGTAGACTTTATACCTAAGGATTGCAGGCTATCTGTAGCAGGATAAGAGTTAGTAGTTAGCTCATCCAGTCAATTCTGTTTAATCCCATAAAACCACCAACAAGGAACAGATTCCTCTTTCACTTTGTTAAAGAGTCATCTCACTGGATATAAAACCTCTCTCCTGACAGATCTGCTGTTCAGGGTATGACTTCTGGTATCGCAGTTGTACCTGGAAGCTGAACAGCTCTTTCACATTTTTAGCAGTGTTGGGTTGTACAGCTCAAACAGATCTGAACGTAACCTTCTGCTTATGCTGGGCAGCCTTTACTTCTTGGCTTGTTCTCTATCTTTTGCTGTTTAAATTTTCACTTTCTTTTTGA